AGTTATGTAAAAAAATAATTCTTCATTTGTAAGTTGCACTTTCATGATAAGAGGTTGCACTTCAGTACTTGTATGAGGTGAATTTAAAAATACTATTTTTTACAGTGCAGGAAATGCTGTACTCTTTGTAGTCTATGTTGTAATTGAAATCAATACATTTGAAAATGTAGAAAAACATCCAAAAATATTTATAATTTAAATTAGTGTTCTATTGTTTAACAGTACAATTAAAACTGCAATTAATCACGACTAATTTTTTAATCGAGTTAATTTGTTTCAAGTTAATTGTTTGAGTTAACTGCGATTGACAGCCCTAATTCCAATTGAGTTATTTTATAATTACATGGTAAAAATGAGAAAGTCAGCAATTTTTCAGTAATTGTGTACTGTGGCACTTTTGTACTTTTATGTCTGATTGTGTAAGCAAGTAGTTTTTAAATGAGGTAAAACTTGGGGGTACACAAGACAAACCAGACTCCTGAAGGGGGTACAGTGATCTGGAAAGGTTGAGAGCCACTGCTGTAGGCCTTAGCGAGTGTAAACCATTAGCACAGGTCATACTTTAAGATACTATGGATAATACCAACCCATCTAAATTAAAAAGGTTTACACAAAAGATGTAAAGGGCTGTGACTGAAACCAAGAATTGCCAGGGGAGGTACATGTTTTACAACAGGGATCAGAACAGGAACAACTGGAACTAGTCTATTCCACTCAAAAGATTTCTCTGCCCTAGCCAGGATCTCCAATCCTGTCACTGTCTGGGCAGACATCGGCACCTGCATGGAACACCACTCCATTCAAACACTACAGCCCTCCGGAAAGTGTAATTCTGGTTGTAAGTGCATGGAATAATTTCTGCTCCTTTCACTCTCATCCCTCAGAAATTGTTTGCCATGGGTCAAGGCAAGGGTGGAGGATGCAATTTCTAAGGTATTTGTGACACCCTTCACATAACGCAGCCCCCACCTTTCCTCGGCCATGGTCTGAGGGATGCAAATTCTGAAGGATGAACTATTTCAGAAATTGCATCTCCCACCTGCTTTCCACCGTGGTGCGGAAAGATGGTGTCTCATTTTTGGCTGGTGTCTTTGGCTCATCAGAAAGTCCTTCCCCTCCCGAACGAAGAGAGAATTTGGTATCCACTATGCAGCTCTAAAAGTTGTAAGAACTCACTTATTTTTTAGAAAATATTCCACCATATTTAAACCATCTCTTGAGCCTAGTTATATTCCAGGGGATCCTTTTAAACCCTGGCACCTCTCCTAAGTCTCACAGGGCTCAACTCTCAGTCAGCAACCTCGTCCATTGTTATTGACATAAATGGGCAAATGATTCTCAATCTGAGAGGAAACTGAGGTAAGGACTTAGAGCAAACCAAAAGTTCTTGCAGTTTTAAAGGGGGATGAGAAACAAAAACAATCAGGGGATTTTATATCAATTAGATAAATACAAAGTATTTCCCACCTGTTGCCAGTCACACAGGGAGCCCCACATGATGCTACTTTAACAGGAATATGGAGGGGATGGAAGAGCCAGAATATTCCAGAAATGTCCATCCCCTGTTGCTGGCAAAGAATAGCTAATATGTTCCCAGAAGCAGCCATGGGCTGAGAACTGGGGGAATGAAAACCCCCACAGAGACCATTTGTCCTGAACTTTTAGGACCTCTCAGGGTGAGAGTGGTCATGAGAACATGAGGGGTCAATATACAGGAATATAGGATTGTTATAAGTGATGGAGGTTTTCAGCCACAATAAAACAATCCATCAGGGTCTGGCCAGCTGTCTTGTTAACAGCTGGGATGCATCATACACCCCAATGGGGAAGTACCTGGCTTTGATGTTTATTAAATATTGAGCCAGTTGTTTTCATCGGGAAACATGTCGATTTTAGGACGTAAAAGGGGAAATGATTCTCAAATGTGAGGGGGAAAAGTTGATCAATGGGGAGTTTAACTCTCCCCCACCCCTCTATACCCCAACAAGGTGGTGCCACAGGACAAGAGTTTCTCTCCAAAACAAGAAATTGCTTCTGTTGAAAAAGGTGGAAAAGTACTAAATCTGAGGACGTTTTATAGCACTACTTGTAAATTAGATGGAAAATAGAAAATCAATGAAGATTTTATAATTAATAACCAGCAGAAAGAAGGGGCAAAATCTACAGGGGTTTTATATCAATGTTCAATAGCTAGAAAGGAAAATGGGTGAAATCAGAGAGAATTTGAAATCCATATTAGAGGATTGGATTAGATAGAAAGTGGCACCGTATGAGGAGATTTTCGATCAGTGTTTGATACAGGTATCAAAATGCTTGGTACAAGTGTTTGATACCTGACACAAAATCTGAGGAGACAGAATATTAGTAACAGAAAATGAGAAAGTATCCGCATCAGCCACAGACATTCGCTCTTCATGGCCTCTGTTTTGGCCTGCCATGCCCTGTCATTGACAGAGAACAGCCAGTCACCCCATTCCCACTCCAGAGCTGTCTGCATGTCAATACGGAGGGGAACGAGTCCCATACCGTTCATCTGTCACAAGTGTTTGAGACCCTTTGGGGTGAAAGCAGCGATGGGAACGTGAGGGGGTTAATCCGGCGGGATTATTATAAGCAATGGGAATTTGTGGCAACTCTAGGAACTGGGATCAGGGACCCAGACAGGCACAGAACAGCCCCCTGTGAAAGGATCACCTATAACCCCTCATTCTGCTCTATCTATAAAGCAGTCTGCAAAGGGGAGGAAAATTTGATTCTCAGATGTGAGGGGGAAAGTTGATCACTGGGGAGTTCAACCCTTGGCCTTGTTCCCCACGTCTGTGCCCGACGAGGGATTTAATCACACCCCTCATATTCCCCATCTGTGGTAACGCCTTGGTTTCCTCCAAAATCAGGAGAAGCTGCTGCACTTCACAAGGGTGATTAGAAAAATAAAAATCAAAGGGTTTTATATCAATATTGGATGATGAGAGACAAAATTGAAAACTGTGAGGGAATTTTATCATAATATATTTATTATAATGAGAGAGAAAGGAGCAAAATCAAAGGGGAAATGTATATCCTATTTGATAATTAGGTCAAAAAGGGGCAAGATCTGAGAGGCTTTTTTATATAAATATTTGATAATTAGTGTGGGGGGGAGGCTAAAGCAAAGCAGAATTTATATTAGTATTTGATAATTAGTACTTGATAATCAAGCCTAAAAAAAATTAAATGGAGCAGTTTTCTATCAAAAATGCAGATTTGTCAAAATCAAAATGTTTTCTGGGAATGTGTCAATTTCAATGTTTTTGTTTCATTTCAATAATATTGAAACATTTTGTTCCATATTTTTCATTTCAACCCATTTAGATTTTTATATTTGATTGAGATACTAATGGTAACATATCATATTTCACATAGGTGTCATTTTTAATATTTTAACTGGGCCAACGTGTCAGGCTCTACTTGAATTCTCCAGTTGATCAATTCCAAATGTCCAGGTAATGTTCTAGTCATCTGTGGGCAGAAGAACCCTATTATTAATTTTGGTGAAAACTGAAAAAAATGGAAGGGGAAAAGCTGAGGACCTGTGGAGCCCCTTTTCCCTGGTTAGCACAGCCACAGAGATTCAAGCACCTCTGTAATTGTCTGGCTGATGGTGGGCATTATCACCCTCCAGCATAACAATACACCATCTCATCTCTGCCCCTCCAGACATAGTGTTTAACATGTCAACACCCTGAATGACAAACAAGGGAGGGGAGGAAGGAGGGAACTAGGGGGGATTAGGGGCATGCAAACAGCCCAGGTGGTGGGATGGGGGGGTAATGGGGGCACACAGAACCATTAGCGGGGGGGGGACATTGGGGATCCAGGTATGGGAGGAAAGCAGGGCATGAGGGAAGGGGGTGCACATGCAGCTGCTGGCCTGAAGGGGGGGAATTGTGGACCCGGGTAAGGGAGAAGGGAATTGGGGGGGGGGGGGGG